ATTGAACCCAGCGTAAATGTGGATTCATTGTTTCCTACTGCTCAGCCTTTATTTACTCTTATTTCTTACTGGGTTGGAGTACTCACATTACTCCCTGCATCTCGTGTGCAGATTCAGGTATATCGGAACCCGGTAGCGGGTGTTGATAGCTCAGCCGCGGAGTCATCAGAGTTAGCAAGGTGGCTGCATGACGTTCGCAACACTTCTTCCTTCCCCTCATTATTGTTACTGTATTTAGTACATTTTTAGACTTTTGTTGTATTCAGACCTTGATAGTTGCTCATGACTAGTGACACCCCGATGTCGGACTGATATTTTATTCCGCACTGTTATTCCAGGATTTTATTATGAAACATTGTTTAATTTATAGACTTAAAAATAACTCTTAATGCTTAAAGGGTTAAGGTGAGTGTTGTGTCGGCTGGCCTTGTCTTCACGAGAGGCGCCATCACGACCGGGCCGATTTGGGGTCATGACAGATTAGCATTAGTATTTATCTATTTTTTCTTTTTTCCTGCATTTCTTCTTCATTCTGCTATAAAAACAGGTTCGGAAAAAGACTAATAGTTTTGCTTCTGAAGGGTCACATTGGTAACGTAAAATGCTAATATGAAAGGTCACATTGGTAAGTAATGTAAAATGCTAACCGTTATGCTTCTAAAAAGTCAAACTCAAATTAATTACATTTAGTTTAGGCTTCCAAATATAATGACCAGGTATTTCACCGCCTTTCTTCTTCCATATCTACCCATGGAAATTGGAAAGTGCATCAATTTTAAACACACTACAGTACAGGTATGTCTCCATTTATTCTGTCTTGCGATATCGCTCTTCTTCGTTTTATGAAATTATTAACAATGATATGATTGCTTAAATTAAAGTATTGCTATTCTTCTTTGTATGTAATTTTAATTTTGCAGAAATGAGAAAGGTGCCCACCACCGGAAGTAAAACCTCGCGGCAGATGCCGCCTCAACTTTCCTATGCTCATGACTGTCTTGATGTTTGTAAATAGATGCAATCATGTACACGTACCATCCCACTTGAGAATTCAACTGTTGAAGGAAAAAGTAATAGAAACAAGAGTTTGCAGCTTCATTCTTTGTCTTCAATCTATTTTCTAGGGTTTTTTTTACATAAGATCAACACGTCAAACTAACCACATGATAAAAAATATCTCTCATCCCTTTTTAAATTCTTAGCTTTTTCATTTATTTTCTTCTTGGCATATTTTAATTTCTTGATCGAAAACCCTTTATCTTCCTCAATTTCTGCCACGTTATAATATATAATTGACTGAAGGTGTTATTTGAAAAAATATTATGTAAAGGACTAAATAAGTTATCCAGAATGACAATTGTCCGCCTCATTCTGTTGGAACAATGGATAAAAAAGAAGTTATAGAAGTTAAAGAAAACAATTATGAAGTTTGTGGTATATATGCATATATGAATCTCACTTGGCAATTCTTTTTTCAAAAAGAGATCGCTCCAACTCTCTATCTCTTTTTTTATTTATTTATAATTATTAATTATTTTTTAACTCCCCCCTCCCCCCAATTATTATATTTACTAATTTTCAGTTAATACATTTGTTAATAAATTAAATGTTGATTGATAACTGGGAAGCCATCAAAAACTTCTTCTTGTATTGATCCTTTAAATTATGGTGATTGCTGGAATACATATACATTTGGGTGCCAGCAGAAAAGGTGCTTAAGTTTTTGCATCTAAAATTTCTTTAGCTTATGATATATATTACAATTTTTTTACATACAGGACAAGGCGGTTCATTCAAATTTTTTGGCATTGAAAAATGAATAATGCATACGACCAATCAATCAATTCCCTGAACTGTATCGGCTCATTAATACTTTGAATCCCTTTACTTGCATACTATTGTTATGCTTTGGGGTCTCTTTAGTAGGCGTTTGGACATAAGAATTGTAAAATTTAAAAAAATGGTATAATTTTTTTCAAATGAAAATGATATTTGAAATTTAGAGTTGTATTTGGACATAAATTTCAGTTTGGGTTGTTTTTGAAGTTTTGTAAGTGATTTGAGTGAAAATTTTGAAAAACAGCTTTTTGAAATTTTTCAAATTTTCGAAAATTTTCAAAATGCATCTTCAAGTGAAAATTGAAAATTTTATGAACAAATACTGATTTCGAAAAAAGGTGAAACTTTTTTGAAAAAAAGAAAAAAAAAATTATGTTCATATGGGCTCTTAGTTACTTTCAATGCAGAAGAAGAAAAAGAAAAGGAAGATTTAGAAAAAGCAAAATATGCTCATGTAATGAATTAAAGAAATAAGTAAAAATAAGTGTTAGTGATAACATGGGTTAAAACATGAAATCTACTCCATATTTGCTCTTAAGGACTAAATGTTTTTAATACTCAAATATTAGGAAAAAATTATGTCAGCATTTTTTTTACTACCGCCCAAAGCACGGACAATTTTACTAGTCTATATATACAACAGGGATGTTAGCTTGCTGATGTGGCATGCCTAATTGATCAACAACTGCCTTTATCTTTTTTCTCCGTTTTTTTAGTTTTCTCTTCTTTTTTCCTATTTACCTTATTCAGTTCAATGGAGTAATAAATTTCTTCTTCTTTCTTTTACCTATTAACTATTAATTTTATTGAGAAACCCAACCGTTTCATTCTTCCTTCATTGGTAGTAATAGCCCATTAATTTCTACCAAAACCCTTTCTTCTTCCTCTTTGAATGACAACAATTTCAAACGCTAATATCTCTTTTTTCTCTCCATGGATAAAAAGAGGGTTCCACTTTTCCTCCATGGATAAAAAGAGAGTTCGACTTTTCTTCTTGAAATCCATCAAGGTCCATGTCAAAATTGCACTGTATGTGATATGACTTGGAATTCAACTCAACTTGGTAATCTAAGGGGGAAAAGACGGGTATCTTATTTTTTTTTTTCATTTTTCTTTTTAATTCAATAAAAAATTCTTGCTTCAAATCTGATATTCTTCAGGTTTTGCTCTTTTGATTTATTTATTTTAACAGGAAAAACGATCTTGGCCTGTTTTATCAATACATGCCGTCACCAAAATATTTAAGCTTTTGGTGATCTGTCTTTACTTTCTCTTGCAGGTTCAATCACAGAGAAGTATTTTTTTCCAGTTTTTGTAGCAAAAGATCAACCATTGTTATCATTCATTGGTTTTATATTTAATTCCTTTTTTTCTCTAAACCGTTGTTTATATGCTTTTTGGGAGACGGACATATGAATTGTCCTTTCAGCGACTTCACAAATCGTGCTTATGGCGCGGGAAAAAGAGAAGACGACTCGCCGTTCTCCTCTCGATTTCCCCATTGTGAGGTTCGAAACACATTAATTTTGGTTAAGTTATTTAACTTTACTTGCAGTTGTGTTCTTCTACCAAGAAATTGCAACAATTTTTCTTTGATAATAGCAGCTATTCGGAGTTGCCGTTTACTTTGCGCTAAGAAAAAAACCTAAATGTAGAAGACAAAAGATAATTAGTTTAATCTAGACATAGCTTTTGGTTATATTAGTGTTAATGATTGTTGTTGTTTGAATGATTAAAATTGTTCTAATGTCCTCAATCTGCCATATCCTACCATAATATAGAATTATTCGCAATTGCAACTTGGTTTATTTTCAATCTTCTATCCCCGAAAGGACACTCCATTTTAATCTTCACATAATTATAGTTATAATTCTTATATTTAATTCCTTTTTCCTGTTTAATGACATTGCATAAGCTTCAGGTTAGGAAGTAAATTCTCATTTTGTGATTTTACCAATTCACAGCTTTCGCCGACTATACCAAAGATGCAATTACTCTGCCTGAAAGTTACAGTAGTGGACCTGCATCATATCCCCTCAACTGCTAGCCATGTTGGTAATGGTGGAAATTTTTGATCTGATGTCCGTGGTGGTGGTCAGGGTAGCCCAGTAACTCAAATATTTCTGATGTTACCGTTGAAGAACTCCAAGAACTTTTTGGAAGTATTGGACAAGTAATATGAAATTTCTTTTGGTTATGATTATTGTTTTAGAGTTATTTTTCCATTAGCAAATCATTGTTTTTCTTTAATTCACAATTCCATGATGCTCAATGTGGTATTGCTACTTGGAGGATGATGATAACATGTCCGGATACTGAATATTTTAGATCTTTTGTCTTTTAATGATAATATAAATATTGCATAATTTCAACCCGGCGAATCAGTGCACAGTTTGGTGTGATGAATGTTAATTTAAGTTTACTCTCCTGTAGTTATGCTTGAGGTTGGTTTCAGCCAGGATAGAAAGATTTAATGGTCAAAGTTGAAAGCTGATGAAGGATGATTTTGGCTCGGTTAATGGATTTTTAATGGAACTGTATTAAAGATCTTAGTTATATTTTTGTTCGAAAACAGTAATTCTAATTTGAAAGTTTTAGCTTTAGTGTCGCATCAAGAGAGAAAATAATCATGACTATGTGTATGAATTAAGCGTAACAAAACAAAGAGCTAGAGATACATTATTGTGGTATTCACTTATTCTTTGGCTAGGACAACATTATATGCTGCAACTGCCATGATAAAGATGAAGTAGGAATCAAGATGACACTATTTTTGTTCGTTACACTAGGGGAAATGGTGGAATTAATGCAGATGTTGAACAAGTGGAGAACCAAGGAAATGTATTGGGTTTACCTCCTCATATGCTGATGCTCATACCATCAATAGAAAACCAGGGTATTTTTTTCCTGTTTCAAGGAACGTAAAAATTAAAAGATTGAAACTGATTTTAGCCTATTATTTTGATTGTATCCGAACTAATGTGTTTAAAATATTTGATCCCAATGTAAAATATATATGGTCTTTCTTTTTTTAGCAATAATTTTGGTGTTTAATTTCTGGTGCATTATGCATCAGGTATTGACTTTTAGCCTCAATTTTTTCCCTTCAAATGCCTTTGCCATGGAAGTTGGATAGGAAAATTAAATTGCCAATATGACAGACTGACATTGAAGTTACCATTTCAAATGGTAACAGATTCTTTATGAAGCAAATGTGAATTCGGAAGCAAAAGTGAAACTAAAGGGACCAACACCATGGCTAATGGGTCAAGTCTATTCATCCTAAATTTTCCTCGACCATAAATGCTTTTGGTGTAAAAATCTACATATGTATATTTTCTTCTCTCTTTTTTTTTTGTTTTCCCCAAATTTTTTTCTTAGATAAATATTCATCGGCTCTCTGCTATTTTCTAATATTATACATTTAGAAGAAAACTAACAATACTGCATGAGTTTTCATCTAAGGGCCTTAGTAAACCCTTATGAGTGGAAATATTAGTACCACATTTACTTGAAAGCAAAAATAAACATTACTTTGCTCGAGAGAACTGTATTGCTTTACCCTTGAGGCCTGACTATGTAAAATATGTATATTAGATATTCTGGTTTGCCTTTGACAAATATGTTGTATGTCAGATGTTCTGATTTGCGTATGACGAGCTCTCGATTATTCCGTCTATCTTCAAATTACAGCTGCAAATGCATCCCTTATATGTTTGTGTTTTATGCCATTATTCTCTGCCTTAAAAGCAAATGCTTCCAATAGTACAAAGAAGATTAGAATAATTGGCTGTCAGCTTCTTGGATTATTTTTTGCGTGTATTTTAGACGAAGGTGTATGACCGCGGGCAAATTCACTACTATAAATATAATAACCTGAAATTACAATTTTCAATGCCAAAATACCGCGAGAAATCCTTTGCGACCTTAGTCAGCAATGTGTTTACATCTTCGAGCATCAACTGGCCTCAGTCATAGTTAATTGCCTTGACCAGAGCCCCATCCACACGCATTGTCTCCCAAATGCTTGATAATTTGAAATCCATGCCTTGATTTGATTGATTTCTTGTTGGACTTGCCTCAGCTTTCTCGAGATTCCTTACATGTATTCTTGTGAATCTTGCTCCATTTCCAAGCGAGTTTAATTTGCTTCCAGTCCAGAAAATTAGACCACACCCATGCCTATGGCACCCACCGTCGTATAGCGAATGAGAAGATTGACAATTGTCTCAATTGCACTCTCTGTGCCATTTTGAGGTGTAGTATTTTCGCCATGATGTTGATTGTCGAGAATTCTTCCAGAAAATCCTGTGAAATAAGGCATAGAGCTTTCAATCTCAAAATCACCAAGTGCTGTATTAGAAATTGATATAAGGTAGGGTATATATGTATATATAAAAAGAATATGGAGAGACCTAAGAAGAACCAGAACAGGTCTGGATAACTTTAGGCCTCAAATATACCTAGCTTAACATAGCAAATATGATACATAAATTTCATGATTACCACTTTCAATTATGTCCAGTAAACAACATTTTTAAGAGGAAAATGAAATGATGAAAGATATGGGATAATAAACAAAAATTGGATAAACAAATCTTGAATTTCTCATTTGAAGCCGAATTTTGTGTATTTGGTACGGAGGAAAATGTCTTCCTTGACAATGATGGTTTTATCACTTATATTTTTCCATGTTTGATTGGTGAGTAGAGAATATTTTCAAAAAATACTTTTGTGTGTTTGATTAGTGAGTAAAAAATATTAATTTAAGAAANGATGGGTGGGGATTGGTGACGGTGGGGAATAGGACAGTGAAGATTGGAAAATATTTTCGCTCCTGGCAGGGAAAATATTTTCTTCCAATTGAAGGAAAATGAGTTCATGGAAACATAATTTCCAACACACATGCAAACACTTGTCAGTGGACATTGTCCAAATGGACACACCTATGGACACGCCTAACCAAACAAACACTATATACTCTCACACGCCTAATCCAACCAATCACACTCAATTTGAATCTACAACAAAAGATACACAATCATTCCCCTATCTTTACAGCAGCCCTCCGGAAAATTAAAAATAAATACTTCACAACAACAAAATGCCAAATATACTATTACCTTTAAACAAAAGGTCACGTCTGGCACTACTAACTCATAAAGTGCCCAGGAGCTCATTTCAAGCTCCCACGATGAACTTCAACAATCCAAACAACCCCATGCACATTCCAAACCTAGTCTATGCAACCCAACCACAACACCGGGACCACCAACCTACCTCATGGATCGAACAGGGTCTCCAAGGCCAAGCTCTCTTCTTCTCCATGTTGATAGAGGGACAGGAAGTCATGGTGATTTTCCAAAATCCAAACTTTCTAGCACAAGTAGTGGCAGAGGGGATGAGAATGGCCATGGACAATTACATGAACCATATGTGGATGGCAAATATTCTCGACCCCCTAACCCCAGCAGTAGCCCCTGCTCTTTACCACACAATGCACAACTATTGGAACCTTCCACAGCACTTCAACCCCCTCCTGAACATGAACCAAATGTTCGAACTACCCTTTTTCCATCACAGGAGGTGACAGAAATGAACCCTCTATTTTTTCCTTGGACACCTCAACAAGACTAGCCCCATCCCCATGTGGCCCCTCCGATGGAACAAGGTCCAAATCTGGACCAGGAAGTGCAAAAGCAGAAGAAGTTGTGACCCCCACCCTTCGGGAAGAAGTTCATTCACATAAATCTCAACCATAAGAGATATAACCCTTATGTTATTCCCGGAGAGGGAGGACAAGAAATACATACTACGATGCCCAGTGGCACTACAAAGGTGCTCAATAGAGATAACTCCATCGATCAATACTGCAACAGCAAAGTATGCAGTGCTACTGAACCCTACTCTGAGGGACAGCCCCTTCATGAAGGGAAATAACCATGCAACTATTCTCCAAAATTACTCTCCTATCATGAATACACCCACCAGTATAATCATTTGGAACGTAAGAGGCGCAAAAAATGTAGACTTCAGACGCAACTTTAAGGAACTCATTAATAACTACAACCCATGCATGGTGGCCCTACTGGAAACAAAAATAGACAACCATGCAACTCTTAGGACAAATTTCAATTTCTTGAACTCAATAGAAATACCAGCGGTTGGCAGAGCTGGTGGTATGGTCATCATGTGGGTAGTCATAATGGTAGCAGTGAAGCATGTTAGACAGACTGATCAGGAACTTCATGCTCTAGTCTAGGTATTACCAAATCACAACCCTTGGCTTTTTAGTTCAATTTATGCTAGTAACTATTTATCAAATAGGTTAGAGTTATGGAATAGCCTAAAGAATATTTTTGACAATTACAAAGGACCTTGGCTAATAGGTGGTGACTTTAACGATGTCCTAAATCAAAATGAGAAATGGGGAGGAAGGAATATTAATAAGAATAGATCCTCCAAATTTAGGTCTTGTATAAGCTACTGCAACTTAATTGACCTAGGATTCAAAGGTTGTCGGTACACGTGGTCCAACCACAGAAATAGGAGGCAAGGTCTTATACTAGAAAGACTTGATCGATGCCTTGCAAACGAATCTTGGCTGGAACAATACCCTTCAGTGTTAGTTACTCACCTCCCTTAAGACATACTCAGACCATAATCCTTTACTACTCAGACTTACTAATACTAGGAAAATTCCAAATAAGCCATTTAGACCCGAAAAATATTGGCTAAGCCACCCTGAGTTTAGTAAAGTCATTGAGAAAAGCTGGGATAATAGAAACCTCAATGATGCCCTAATTTGTTTCAAAAATAATGTCAGTGAATGGAGTACTCAAAATTTTGGTAATATCTTTGCCAATAAAAAAAGGTTACTGGCTAGAATTAAGGGAATCCAAAACTCGGCAAGCTATACCTATAGCACTTTCCATAAAATTTTAGAGCACACACTAATTAATGAGTGTAACAACATCCTTCGACTGGAAGAAGATCACTGGAAGATTAGATCACGCATGAATTGGCTCAATGAGGGCGACACAAATACTAAATTCTTTCACATATCTGTCCTAAATAGGCGAAGGCGTAACAGTATATCCTTTTTTAAAGATAATGCGGATAATTGGATTACGCATCACCAAAAAATCATTGAACATACACACCAATATTTCAAAGATATATTCACTACCAGTAATACACTATCGGAGTGGAATACTATTAAAAGTGCCCACACAAATTTCTCGAATATAGATCTCTCCTCCTTAGATAGGCCACTAGCTACCCAAGAAATCATTTCTGCAGTATATTCATTCAAGCCATACAAAGCCCCAGGACCAGATGGGATGCACCCAATATTCTATCAACGTCACTGGAATATTGTGGGACCCTCTGTCACACGATTATGTAAAGAAATCTTCTCCCTATCTAGAATCCCCGGGGAAATAAATCAAACCTTACTATGCCTCATTTCCAAATTCAAACATGCAAATAACCTTAATAATTTCTGACCAATAGGTCTCTGCAACACCACATACAAAATAATCACCAAAATAATTGTTAACAGGATCAAACCCTTCCTTCCTGAATTAATCAGCCCATGTCAGGTCAACTTCTTAAAAGGTAGGTGAACATGTGATAATGCCATTATTATACAAGAAGTTATAAACCAGTTCAAAAAAAGAAAAGGGATGAATGACAACTAATTATTAAAATCGACCTTGAAAAAGCCTTTGACAGGCTAGAATGGTTGTTTGTCTACAAGTCCCTTGTTTTCTTCAAATTCCCACCAAAAATCACATCCCTGATCATGAACTGCATAGTCATAAGTAGAATAACATTCTTAGTAAATGGTGCTCAAACAAACTTCTTTGAACCCTCGAGGGGGATTAGAAAAGGGGACCCCCTATCCCCCTATCTGTTCATTTTAACCATGGAATTACTCTCAATTTATATACATCACCAAGTGGACCTTACCCTGTGAAACCCCATTAAAATTGGACCAAAAGGACCTCATGTATCACATATCTTTTACGCAGATGACTTGACATTCATGGCCCAAGCAAATAGAAAAACTATCAATACAATTCACCACTCCTTAGCAACCTTTTGTTCCCTATCAGGCCACAAAATTAACAATACCAAATCCAAAATTCTCTTCTCCAGTAACTGCCCAACTGCCATAAAAGACTATGCAATAGATCTTTTTAACGTTAACCCAACCAACCAATTTGGAAAGTACTTGGGTTTCCCAATTACCAATAACAAGCTCAAACCATCTGATTTCCAATTTATAATTGACAATATGAGAAACAAGCTCTCTAACTGGAAAACAAATTTTCTCACTCTTACGGGACGAGCAACCCTTGCAAAAGCTGCCCTCAATGCTATCCCTAACCATAATATGCAGTACATATCCCTTCAAAAAAAGGTACTTCACCAAATTGATAAAATCCAGCGTGATTTTATATGGGGGACAACTACAACTAAAAAAAAGATACACTACATTTCGTGGGATGTTGTAACCCTTCCAAAAGAGTTAGGTGGCCTAGGGATACCCAAGGCATGGCACAAAAACCAGGCCATTCGAGCGGGACTTGCATGGAGACTATTTACCAATCCATCAACAATGTGGGTAGATACTCTAATTCAAAAAAAAAAAACAATAAGCCTAATATCAAGACCACCTCCTTCATTGGCAAAATGTACTAAAAGGATGGGAAACCATCAACAAAGGATTGTCTTGGGATATTGGCAATGGTAAATCCATAAACTTCTACTATGGTTGTTGGACCCCAAACAAAATAAACATCCGCTCAATCATTCAGGGTCCTCTTAACAAAAATGATAGCAACTTAACCCTTGACTAGATCTGGCTAAACAATCAGTGGAACTGGTCCAAAATATCATTCGAGCTACCCAAAAATATTACTACTGACATCACCCATCCCTTTTTCACAAAACCCCCTTGCAGTAGACACACCCATTTGGATACTCAACACAAATGGCACCTTCACAACCTACTCAGTTTACAAATTACTTCACCAACACATCCAAAAGACCACTGACTATGATTGGATCTGGAAACTGCATACCCTAAACAAAATCAAATTTTTCCTATGGCAATGCTTAAAAAATAGGCCACCCACTAACTCCTACCTTCACCAAATTGGTGTCTCAATTGACAATACTTGCTTGATTTGTAAGATGGCAGAAGAAATCATAACTCATATCTTCCTGGAATGCACTATAGCATGCTCAATTTGTGACAGCACAGGCATTGACATCAACACCATCCCCCACAACAAACACTGGCTTTTAGCTATCAAAGATCTTCAAGTACCGGTTAATCACAACTCCATTACTTGGGAGGATGTTTTTCCTTTTGCAATATGACACCTTTGGTTAAATAGAAACAACAATTGCTTCCACAATTACCCAAACAACCTAAATTATCATATGATTAACACACGAGCTATTGAGTTTAAATTACTAGCCTCCAATTACAAATGCACAACACACAAAATTCCGGTACACATTAAATGGAACCCACCACCACCCCACAACTACAAATTAAACATAGATGCTTCCGTGAGTAACCAAAACACGGGAGCCATTAGGGGTATAATAAGAAATAGTCGCGAAGACATGATTGTAGGATTTACTAACAAAATCAAAGCCTACAACTCTACTCATGCAGAATTACAAGCACTTCATGCAGGTTTAAAATTGGCACATGACAAAAGACTAGCACCACTGGAGATTGACACTAACTCAACGGACATAATCCAGCTGCTTCAACACAATATCTCTCCTGCTTATACTAATACTATTTTGGAATGCAGGTACTTGTTGAAGAAATTGGGGAATCCAGTGGTCCGGCACAGCTTCCGTAAAGGCAACAAAGTAGCGCACTTTTTGTGTAAATTGGGCTCCAAGCAACAACACCTAAGCTCTACTACAACTATTTTGCACTCACCTCCGGATACAGTAAAGAGGGTGATCCATGATGACAAAAACGAAGCATCTATTACTAGACTAGTATCTAGCTCTAATGTAATACACTAGCAGTGCTTGGAAATCTTAGTATTATCCCGACTATTACTAATAATGATGTAATGCCTCCATAACTGTTATTAATGAAATTTCTCTTTTTCCAAAAAAATAAAAATAAATAAAAGTATTAATATTACACTTAGATTTTAGCATAAAACAATGCCAATTTTAGCATAATCAAATTTGTATTATTAATCTATAAAATTTAACAGTGGTGTCAAGCAGGTAACAGATAAATTAAAATTTCTTGGAGATTACAAGCAAAATCCACTGACAAAAAATTTACAAGCTGCAAAATTGATGGCAGACGTGCAACAGAAACAGAGACCTTTTCATTTTGCTCTCACCCCCCTGCCAAAGCGAAGCCGTCTCACAAGGCTTTGATTAAATCAAAATCTTCACAGCTCTTGCAATATCATGCAGCTCCTCCTTTGAAACCTTTCTCCACACTCCACCAATCAGCAGGTGGCCTTTTGAACCTTCCAAAGGCATGTCGTCGTTGTCATTTTTATCCGAGAGAAAATCCCTGTCGTTGTTGCTATCACCAGGCTCCTCTGTCTTCCTCATTTTCTTCATATTAGGATGGTCGTCCAAGCATTCAATCGCAGAGGAAGCATCCCGCTTGCATCCACATTTATCAGTTTCTGGGATATCATTGTCGGATGATTTTGCAACTTCTGCTGAATCATCAACAAAATCAAGAATCGGAAGACGGCCAGTAGAACCAAATGTGTGGGGCAGCATACCAGTGGGGCATGGTTTCCATGCTTCTGCAACTACCCATCTGCTCCCGGCATCTGCTGTCTTCACGTTATTGCCCTTCACAACTTGGTGCTTAATTAATTCAAGCTTCTGAGCAGCCTGGCGAAGAGAATCTTCCCCCTTGGATAGTAGGAAGCTTTCTGAACTACTGGTGGAAGGATCCGAGTGAATAATCTCTGAATCAAATACGCTCAGTGAGCAGAGCTTATTTAACTTATGGAATAAAGAATTCCTTCCCATAATCTGAGCAATGACAAGAACTGAATCCATCAGCTGATTATTGGTGTGAGAGGACAAAAGTAAACATTTACGTAATATTTGTTGCAGCGTTGCCTCTGGAAGACCAAGTTTTCTTGAAGAATCTTCCCTGTCAGCAGCAGAATCACTACGGTTAAGAGGCTTCAGTGTCTTCAGATTTCCAACTACCTCTTCACATAGATAGAATAATAGTTGAAGTCGGAGAGATTCATTTTCATTTCCTGAAAAGCAATTTTCACCTGACACTGATTCATTAGAGAAACAAGTCATCAATAATACGCTAAAACCCATTTTGTTAATCAAGCAAATAAAATTAAAATAAAACTAGAGAAGCATCATAGCAACTCTGGTTCAACTAAGATTCAACTTCAAATGTACTCTGATGAACTAAAACACCCGTGGCTTGTCTGGTCTCTCATGTAAGAAATAACTTGGCATAAAACTTAGCCTTACTAATACAATCATTCTAGCCGCTCTGCATTATTAGTATAATGTCTGGTCACCATTTTCATTTTTCCATAAATAATACTACTTGGATAACTTATAAGATAATGGATAGAATATCGAATAAGAATATTCATATTTGGTAAGAGCACCTAAAGTGAGAAAATACAATTGAAGTAAGGCGCCTTGTATTACTATATAAAACATTTAAAGCTAATTCTGCAATTTGGTATTAGAATCTCCACTGAACAGTTTTTATACATATCATCCCTGTATATATAATGCCTGTATCACTAGTTTGCGAACCAACCGACTGCTTGAAGCATTTGGAATATTTAGCATAGATGAAACGAGATCTGAAAGGAAATACAGTCAGAACACACTATTTAATGTAGCTCCCAGCGCCTAGTTTATCAATTTCAAAGTTGACTGCATACTAGAACATGCATAATTCCATGTTCCTGAGTCCCAGGTATATTACTAAGTGCATCTTACAACAAGACCAAGCACAAGTAATAACGAAAGTCTAAAAAATGCTTCCTTAGACGTCTCAAACCAGAATTTCACTTACCAAGTTCATGTTTCATGGCCTCCAGAGTCTCGATTTTGTCAAGAGCTGCCTGCAGAAGAGTCAGAAGCAACTCTGGTTCTCTATTTGACAGTTTTTTCAGTATTGGTTTCCAATAATCATATGCACTGTGGCTGTCAATGATATCATGGAATTTCAAAGCGTTCACTAACTCCCCATTTGGGGAATCTAATGGCTGCAGCATAAGTTCCAAAAGCACAGATATCACTTCGGAAGAAGAGGAAGTATATAACCGAAGAACGGCTTTGGTAGCTCTGGTAAGCTGTTTCTTAGAACCTGAAACACAAATTATTCCAGAAAACTTAAGATCACCTAAAACAAAATAAATATGCAGATGCTAAAGCATATGCCATCAATAATCAGCAAATCGCTTTCATCAATTAAGCATCATACATAACAAACTTTGCAGGAAGCAACTCTATATTCTAAGTACCATTTTAATTTTCAAGCCACACAGTATTTATACAGATATCACTGCACGAGAGTTAATTGACCAAACAAGATGCTAAACTCTACAATAAATAGAACCTTCGAAAGAACCTAAATGGTGGTAACAGTCCTGAATCCTAAAGGATGTGACTGTGAGCATTTGTAATCCTCAAAGGATACACTAATCTTTTCAAAGCATCAACTTGCTAATGCACTCAATGCATAAAATTGTCACTGTACGAAGCTTTAATAGTTCCAATGTTGAATCCTCAGTTTTCCTAAAATAGCTACAAAGGAGGAAAGAGCTGTGAGAAGGCATGGGAGAAAATATGATATATTGATATTGTATGTGATGCAATACAAGAGGTGCTATTTATAGCTACTCTATACAAAGGGGATACTACTCCTCAATGTGGGACAATTACATAGCTATCTCTAACACTCCCCCTCAAGCCGGAGAATATAAATCATATGTACCGAGCTTGTTACATATATAATCAATGCGAGGACTAGTGAGGGACTTGGTGAAAATATCTGCAAGTTGATCATTCGATCTCACAAACTTCGTAGTAATATCTCCTGAGAGTATCTTTTCTCTGACGAAGTGACAATCAATTTCAATGTGTTTAGTTCTCTCATGAAACACCGGATTTGATGCAATATGAAGTGCAGCTTGATTATCGCACACAAGTTCCATCCGACTGATTTCACCAAATTTCAACTCCTTGAGCAATTGTTTGGTCCAGACTAGTTCACATGTTGCCATAGCCATTGCTCGGTATTCTGCTTCTGCACTAGACCGAGCAACTACATTCTGTTTCTTACTTTTCCAGGACACCAAATTTCCTCCTACTAAAACACAATATCCAGACGTAGAACGTCTATCAGAAGGTGATCCTGCCCAATCAGCATCCGAGTACCCAACGATCTGCTCATGACCTCGATCCTCAAACAGTAATCCTTTACCTGGAGCCGATTTTATATACCGGATAATGCGGACAACTGCATCCCAATGACTATCACAGGGAGAATTCATAAACTGACTTACAACACTCACAGGATAAGAAATGTCGGGCCTAGTCACTGTGAGATAATTTAATTTACCAACCAGCCGCCTATAGCTTGCAGGATCGCTAAGCGGCTCCCCCTGTCCAGGCAGAAGTTTAGAATTCGGATCCATCGGCGTGTCAACAGGTCTGCAACCTGTCATCCCTGTTTCCTCAATAATGTCTAACACATATTTCCTTTGAGAAAAAACAATATCTGAGCTAGATTGAGCAACCTCAATACCTAGAAAGTACTTCAATCTGCCTAGATCCTTAGTTT